GATTCTCATAAACCTGTATCCCACTTGTAGCCTAGTGTAGCGATTCTCAGCCCATGGGCCACGACTGAAATTTGGGTCGCGGCAAGTTCTGAAAGGGTCGCGGGGCAGAGTTTTATATGTAAGCATTTTAAAACTAGCAAGCTCCTGTGCTGATCCACGATCAGATTTCCCATCCCCAATCCTAGTATTAACCTATATAAACGGGTTCTTGGGTCTGCAAATGCTTAGGGCAAAACTAGTGAACACTGAACCAATCGAAGAAGCCAAACGACAGATGCTTAATTTACAATTCACTGCCACATCTAATCAGATTTGTCTGATAGGCATTGACTGACGTAAGCTGCAGAGTGTACTGTGCGCTTGATCATAGCATTAATTTAAACCTATACTTGATATAGGGTCGCGACTGAGCTGGCATGGTAAAAATTGGGTCGTGGTGCAAAAAAGGTTGAGAACCACTGCCCTAGCTGTCAGAAAAAAGGGTACAAATTTGTACCTTTCCTTGTCACTGGGGCTGTACCCTCAAGGGTCTGTCAGCTGTACCCTTAACTCTAGGTAATTGTACCTTTTAAGGTACAGAAATGGAACATTCCTAAGGTACGAACATCAATGGTACAAAAATGTTCCTCAGAGTTCATTTCTGTATCTTAAAAGGTACAATTACCTACAGCTAAGGGTACAGCTGGCAGACCCTTGAGGGTACAGCCCCAGTGACAGCAAAGGTACAAGCTGGTACCCTTTTTCTGACAGATTAAACCTGTTTCCCACCTTCCCCCCAGCTGTAGTCTTCCTGAACCTGTACCCCACCTGTAGTTCTCCTAACCCTCACCTGTCCTCCATCTGCATGCCTGTTCCTTAGCCCTACCCTGTTCACATGGTAACTCTGGCCTCCGCCCTTCTGACAGGTACATACCAAGGTCAGTGGATGGGCGGCATGCGTCACGGCTATGGCGTGCGGCAGAGTGTCCCTTACGGCATGGCGACAGTCATCTGCTCGCCCCTCCGCACCTCACTGGCGTCACTGCGCAGTGAGCAGAGCAACGGCAACGTCCTCCAGGAACCGGCCGTTGACACCCCAGCCAGTGGCCGGGGCGGTTTCGTGCTCAACGTGCACAGCGACAGTGAAGTCGGGGTCAAGAAGAAGGGGCTCTTCCACCGGGGGGCGCTGTTCGGGAGCCTAAAGCAACTGCGCAAGTCTGAGTCGCGCTCCTCGCTCTCCAGCAAGCGCAGCTCCGCCCGCAGCGACGGCACCATGAGTCGCATCAGTTCCAGTGACGGCAACTCGAGCCTGAGCTACGGTGAGGGCGCGGAGGATGAGCCGGCCGCCGCGGACAACGTGGACGCCACCACCACCGAGGCCTACATGGGCGAATGGAAAAACGACAAGCGCAACGGCTTCGGCGTCAGCGAGCGCTCCAACGGCATGAAGTACGAGGGCGAGTGGTTGAACAACCGTCGCCACGGTTACGGCACCACGCTGTTTCCCGACGGCACCAAAGAGGAGGGGAAGTACAAAAACAACGTGCTGGTGCGCGGCATCAGGAAGCAGCTCATCCCGCTGAAGAACCCCAAGACGAAGGAGAAGGTGGACCGGGCCGTGGAGGGAGCCAAGCGCGCAGCGGCCGTAGCCAGAACTAAAGTGGAAATAGCAACTTCCAGGTGAGTGGAGACAGGCTGGACCAGCTAAATGCCAAATGCAACAGAGGTTGGTGGGGCCTTGGATGTGGAACTGTGCAGACCTTGGATTCCCAGCATGCTTTGCATGAGAAGGCATCTTGTGTCTACTTTGATTTCCCAGCATGCTCTGAGGTGGGAGATGTATTGTTTACTTTGGTTTCCCAGCATGCTCTGNTTGTTTACTTTGGTTTCCCAGCATGCTCTGAGGTGGGAGATGTATTGTTTACTTTGGTTTCCCAGCATGCTCTGAGGTGGGAGATGTATTATACCTACCCTGCTTTCACAACATCATTTCTTATTCTGTAACTGGGAGATATGCTGTTACTATCTACGCCAAATGCAAATGTGGCTTTTCTATGCACTTTTCATGGCACTCCAGCAACCAGAAAAAAACCTCACACTGGTCCATTTGGACTGGTGCGCTGCTGAGGTATCTATCCCCAATATGGCTAGACTCAGGTTCTCATGCCTGAGGTGGTTTGTCAGGTGGTGGGTGCAGCAACGCACCGTAATCAGCACATGCTCCTTACCTCTGACTTGTTTTAACTCTACAGTAGTTAATACAGTACTGTACAACAGTACTCAATCAAAGTTATGCCCATGTAGGTCATGCTCAAAAGAAAGTGGAATCTGGATGCATTTAAAGTCCGTGAGTGGGAATATTCCCAGTTTCAGACTAGCCCCAGCACACTAAGAGCCATGGTGTAACATTTAATACAATAATAGCAATTTTTTACATATTCATAACCTACTGCACAACAGAATTCTGTGGAAGGGTACCACACTCCACCATTAAAGGATTTCTAGTACTTACCATGCATTTTCTGAGAAAGGATCTGGAGCTTTATGAATTTTAAACACTTACTACTGTGCATCTATTTGATTACGAAGGGAGGGCTTAGAGACAGAGATGGGGATTTGGGCTGACAATGACAATGACAGACTTTTGCATGACACACATCTAAATCCCCTTTATGACACACAGATTAGGGAAGTGAAGGCGTCCGGGGGTTGAGGGGGGGTTGGGTGGCGTGGGTCTACATTACTTTTGACTCAGTGTGTACCTAAAACAGTTGACTATACAATCATTAAATAAAGAAGCAAAGACTGTGAATGCTTGTGATGATGGCATCCAGTGGCAGAAAGTGACAGCGGGTGACAATATGTGCTTCGTTTGCCTCTGTCCTGCCTCACACTGCCCTCCTGCACTGTCACCTCTTCGTTTGCCTCTGTCCTGCCTCACACTGCCGTCCTGCACTGTCACCTTTTCGTTTGCCTCTGTCCTGCCTCATGCTGCTCTCCTGCACTGTCACCTCTTCGTTTGCCTCTGTCCTGCCTCACACTGCCGTCCTGCACTGTCACCTTTTCGTTTGCCTCTGTCCTGCCTCACACTGCCGTCCTGCACTGTCACCTCTTCGTTTGCCTCTGTCCTGCCTCATG